TCTCTTTCTCTCTCCCTCTCCCATCTCTCGGTCCCTCCCCCACTTCTCTCTCTCCCTCTCTCCCTTCATATAAACACACACACACACACACACACACACACACACACAAACTTAAAAAAATCATCCCAACAAGTAAGTATCAGGTTGGTAAGTAGGGCTGTATGATGAAGTAGGAGTTCTTCTTTATGGAGGAAGGGCCTAGAAAAGTCAGCAGGGAGGCCTGTGTCATGCAGAGTTGAGGAAGGAAGGGCTTTTCCAATTGAGTTCTCCAGGCCCTACAGAAGGTCATGAACCTTCTAAAACAAAGCAGGGGCATCTAGAGCTACCCTAGATGTGAGAGCCCTAGTCTTCCACTTCAGAGATCCACAGAATTTCTACCAGAAGACCTCTGAGGTTTTCTGCCCTTTAAGAATTTCACAAGCATTCACAGAAGAACTGAATAGTCTGATGGGGGACTTCTATCTGGTGGCTCGTTGGAGATGAAGTCAAACAGACTTTGCTGTCCAAATTGACTTTAAATCTCAGTCCTCTGAATCTCAATCTCTTGAGGCTGTGTGACTAACTTTTAAATGAAGGAAACAAAACTTAGTCTGTTGCCAGTTACCTTGCATACTTAAATACAGTTTCTGTTCAAGCAGTTACATTGCTCACTTCTATTAATTTGTAAGGAAATCCTGTGATCTCCAAGGGCAAATCATGGATTCCTCAGGCTAGTAGAGGAGTTGACAAGAGGTAATACAAATAAAATTTTATGATAATCTGACATTGCACCCTCCTTGAAATTTTTCTTGTTGATATTAGCGGTTTTTTAATTGTGTGTGTGTGTGTGTGTGTGTTAGTTCTAGGGCCTGAACTCAGAGCCTGGATTTTATCTTGCTACTTAAGAAAATGTTTTTTTGCTCAAAGCTGGTACTCTACCACTTGAGTTACAGCTCTCCTTCCAGTTTTTTGCTGTTCTATTATCTCACAGGTTGGCTTTGAACTACTATCCTCAGATCTCAAAACTTTCTGAGTTGCTAAGATTACAGGCATGGGCTATCAATGCCTGGCTAGCAAAATATTTGTGTGTGTGCGTGGATGGGTTATAGATTTCTTTTAGTCTGCCTAAGGTCCTGGCTTTAGAAATTTAAGAAAAGAAAGGTTGGCCAATAACTTCTAAATACCATGACCCTTTAGCAAGTAGACCTGCCCGCTCAGTTGCTAACCCAAGCAGCACCCTACCTGCCTGCTGGAGTTTTGGCTTTATTTCCTAAAATTAACAATTTTTCTATCATTGTTTCTTCCACACAGTCAACTATGTAACTTTCAGAAGTCAAGAAAACAATCACAAATACTCTGAAGTCCCCAAATAGCAAAGACTAACTTTGATTCCACATATCTCTTTGGTCTACCATGTAGAAAGTCACATGGAATAACTCAGCACATCTTAAAACATAAATCTGGGTTGAAAAGTTCAGAGATTACCTCCTAAATTTTGTAGCAGCCAAGTTGATTTTGGCCCCACAAAGCAGATTCTTGTTTATTTGTTCATAAAACATCTCTGCAGGGTTGATGGGTCTTACAAATCACACAGGATACATGAGAAGTGATATTGGTTTTGTTTTACTTTGGCCACTGGTCAAGCATTGACTTGACACGCTCTTTTCAAGTGGAGCTTGAAAAGAGTCAAAACAGACGTGTCAGATATCTGGGTTTCTTACCAGCTTACATATTGCTTATCCAGGTAAAGAATTTATAAAATAATTATGACTTCCTCTATCTAGTAATTCTTCCACTGGACATTTTTACTGATACTTGTATGGGGAAAACTGATAAGGAGGCAGGGAGAGGCTTCTGAGAATCATGTGAAGAGAATGGTTACCAAAAAAAAAAAAAAAACCCTAAAACAGGGAAGAAGTAAGGAAGAAGTTGGGAGTCTGTAGCTTCGATCTTGACACTTCCTGTGAAGACTTTGCCTGGACTTATCTTAGGAACTCTGTGAAGCAGGCCTCCCATTCTCTCTTTACAGATGTGGAAAAGGGCACAGGGGAGGGAAGGAGCTAGCTGGCTCTAGTTCACACAACTAGTGAGACACTCAGCCTGGACTGCAACTAGGCAATCTGGACAATGGCTCAGCTCTTGTGTGTGGCCTATTAAGTGAAAAGAGACTCCTACAGATTGGATCATAAATGTTTCTACAGGCCCATGTGTTAGGTTGGTCCCAGAGTGGAGCTATTTAGAGTGAAGCCTCACGAAAGAGTTAGGTGACTGTGGTATTGTGGAGCCCTGGTCCCTCCTCTTCCTCTCTTTATTCCCTGAGTGGTAATATAAAGTCTGCCCCATGCTTTCAATATGATGTATTATCCACTATATGGAGGAAAGCCAACATACTCTTTTCTCTTTTTACGTGAATTATCTCAAGGGATTTTGTCACAGTGATGGAAACTGACTAATATTAGAACAAAGAATATTTCTCAGATATAGCAAGATATACCGGCAAAAACTAAAGAAAGGAAGATACTAGATCTTAGACTAGTCAGTCACCTCTTTCTCAATCCTCTGTATATTTTAAGGTTTACATGGTATGACTGCTGGGTTTTCTTTTTTTCTTTTTGGGCTTGAACTCTAGGCCTGGGTTCTGTCCCTCAGCTCTTCAGCCCAAAGCAAGTGCTGTACCACTTGAGCCATAGTGCTACTTCCAATTTTGCTAGTGGTTAATTGGAGATAAGAGTCTCATGGACTTTCCTGCCTGGGCTGGCTTTGAAACATGATCCTCACATCTCAGCCTCCTGAGTAGCTAGATTACAGGCATCTAGCTCTGGGTTTTCTTTTCTAACCCTGAACATTTCACTCCTGTTATTATTTTTTTTGGGGGGGGGCCTGGTTGTGGGGCCTTAACTCTGGACCTGGGCGCTGTCCCTCAGCTCTTCAGCTCAAGGCTAGCGCTCTCTACCACTTGAGCCACAGCGCCACTTCCGGCTTTTTTCTTTTTGCTTATGTGGTGCCTCATGCATGCAAGGCAAGCGCCCTACCACTGAGCCACCTTCCCAGCCCGCCACTCCTGTTCTAAAGCTAAACTCTCTACAGCTTGGTTTCCAGAGGCCCAGGTCCATAGCCATATTTTCTGTTCAGAGCAAAGGTCACCATCTGCACCGGACAGAAACCTCCCCTCAATCCCTACACACAGCCTGAATCAGTTCCTAGCAGTTCTGTCTTGATATTTACAACCATGGAGGAGGGCAGCAAAGACCCCAAAGAAATACAAAGAAATGGAAGCAAACCATAGTAAAATACTGTGGATTAAGTCAAAGTCCACAATACTAGGAATTCCTTGAGGGATGCCACATGGCTCTACTCTGTAATCGGTTCTGTGGTTCTGGGGACAATAGTCACTGGCAGTATTTGTCACTTCCATTTTCTCTTTCTTTCTTTTTCTATTTTTTTTTTTGTCAGTTATGAGGCTAGAACTCTGGGCTTGGGCGTTGTACCTGTGCTCTTCAGCTCAAGGCAAGTGCTCTACCACTTGAGCCACAGGGCCACTTCCATTTTTCTAGTGGTTTATTAGAGAGGAGTCTCACAGCCTTTCAAGCCCCAGATGGCTTTGAACCATGATCCTCAGATCTCAGCCTCCTGAGTAGCTAAGATTACAGACGTAAGCCACCGGTGCCCGACATATCACTTCTGTTTTCACAGAAGTTTTTCAGGTAAATAAAGATACTAGAGATCTTAGAGACACAAATGGACCTTGCTATAATTTGAACTTGAAATGACCTTCAAAGGCTCATGTGTTGAAGGCTTAGTTCCCAGAATGGCATTATTTAGAGGTGGTAGGACTTTAAGAGGTGGCGTCTGCCAGGTGCTGGTGGCTCATACCTGTAATCCTAGCTACTCAGGAGGGCTGAGATTTGAGAATCGCCATTCAAAGCCAGCTGGGGCAGGAAAGTCTATTAAGATTCTTACCTCCAATTAACCTTGTGAAAACTGGAAGTGGTGCTGTGATTCAACGTGGTAGAGCACTAGCCTTGAGCAAAAGAGCTCAGGGACACCGCCCAGGCCCTAAATTCAAGCCCCACAATTCTGACCAAAAATAAAAAAGAGGTGGAATTTAGATCACCAGAAGTCATGTCCTCAAAGGGGCAGTTAGGACCCTAGGTTCCTTCCGGTCTCAGTCTTTCCTTCCTTGGGATGTTCTGCTACCCACAGCCAGGAGGGGCTGCTTCGGTATAGGCCCTAAAATAATGCTGTTAACTGACCATTGCCTGAAACCTCTCAAACTGTGAGCTCAAATAAACCTTTTCTTATTATATTTTGTCATACCTCAGGCATGTTGTCAAGTACTGGAGAGCTGACTAACACAGACCCCCACAGTGTTGTTGGGTGGTCTAGCTTAGCCTAAGGACATGCTAACAAGTACAGGTTAGGATCTGATCCTCAACCACTAGTCAGGAAGGAAGGAGCCTGTGGTGAACCAACTGTGCCACCCATGGGAAGATATTAGTTCCTTATTTGTACGCTATTAACAAAACAGAAGAATGTAGGATCTGTTCTTCTCCCACTAAAAGGTAAAGAGCCCCAACTACCTCCAGGACTTTGGTGCTTTTATGTATCCATTTACTTAGGAGCTGACTCCAGTTCTTCATGTACACATCCATTCATTAAATATTTACTGAGCACCACCTGCTCCCAGTTAGTCACCAAGAAACAAACAGACAGGAGGAAGATAACACTTCCTGGAAGAAAAGGTACAGTGCTGGTGGGAGAGAGAGGCAAGATAAGGACACTAATAATGTGAACAGGAAAGTGAACTTGGGACACTGAGCATAGGCGTGCTAGTTCATTCACCTCAGCAAGATGGCAAAGCCATGGGAAGGATCCCAGGGATCAGAGGGAGATCAGAGACAGGGCCAGTGGGTAATAAGAAGCAGGTCTTCCGCACAAATCATGCCAGAAGACGGGCTTGGGGGGCACCTAGAGGGTATAGTGGAGTTGCGGGGGTGGGGGAGGGGGGTGCAGGTAGGTACCTTGCAGTCGCAGCCGATGGGCTGGCCACACTCCTCACATGTGTTGGCATAGAGCTCCTCAAAGCAGGCCACACAGTGGGGGTTCTCCTCCCTCAGGATGTACTTCTTGCCAAAGAGAGATTCATTGCAGTGGTGGCAGTCAAAACGCTCAGTCATGTTGTCACTCACCCCGTTTTACAGCAACCTGTCGAACAGAAGAGAGCGTTTGCCACTAGTCATACACTCAAAGGTCCCATCTGTCTGTCCTGTCTGATCCAGCCAAGGGCAAGTATGTTTGTATGCGTGCATGCCTGCGTGTATGTGTGTGTGTGTGTGTGTGTGTGTGTGTGTGTGTGTGTGTGTATTCACTCAACTCAACCTTGCTATGCTACTAATTTTTAGTGATATGCTTATTTTCATTAGTTGAGGACAGTTTTCTGTTTGGATGTACTCCACTTTATTTTTTATTTTTTTTTGTCCTGGTACTGAGGCTTGAGCTCAAGGTCTGGACACTGTCCCTTAGCTTTTTCACCACTTGACCCACAGCTCCACTTCTAGCTTTCTGGTTGTTAATTAGAGGTAAGAGTCTCATAGAATTTCCTGCCCATGCTGGCTTTGAACCACCATCCTTAAATCTCAGCCTCCTGAGTAGCTAGGACTATAGGCATGAGACACTGGCACCTGGCTAGCACTCCATTTTAAAAGTACCAATTATTGCTGACTACAGGAGAATGCCAGACTCAGGGAAATTAGTGTCAGAGTCCCCATACCACCAGCTCTGTGTGTGTGCTTGCTACCAATGTGTGACCCTGCCGGCCTCTTCGCTTTCTTTCTACTCCAAAATAGAAAGGCAGACATAGAAACAATATGTCCAGTTCTATAAAAAGATTTCCCACATGCTCCCCTTTGTATTCATGAATCTGAACAGGAAGAAACCAATTGTGGGGTGGGGGTAGATGTCTGATAGGGAAATCGGCGATTAGAGGAGAGCAATGACCTGGACCCCAATCTTGCATCAGGAAGTGTAATGTGCCTCAAACACTAGAGAAACAGCGAAGGTTCCTCCGAGAGAGTCATTCCTCCCAATACATGGTCAACACCCTTCTTCTGCCCAGGTACCCAGAGCATAGGATAAAGGGAAGGGCTCCCTTCCAGGAATAAGGATTAGCACCTGGTCCAAAATGCAGGGGCAACTGCCAGGGGCTCTCCAGGCAACACCTCAAGTGTCACAAAGAAGAACAAAAATATGCCTCCAGACACGTCCCATTTTTCCAGGATGAGAATACAATATGGGCAGAGACTAAAGGAAGGCATGAGGGGCTGGGGGTTGGGAAACTAGTAGTCTCACTTTCCATCTCCGTGAGATTACTACAATAAAATTTCAGATAAAAAAAAAGTCCACCATGAGCAGGGCACCATAGTTCATACCTATAATTCTAGCTGTGATCTGAGGATCATATTCAAAGCCAGCCTGAGCAGAAAGACTGAGAGACTCTAATTTCCAATTAACCAGCAAAAATGTCAGAAGTGAAGATATGGATAAGGGGTAGAGCTTCAGCCTTGAGCTTAGGGGCCCTGAGTTCAAGTCCTAGTACCAGTACCAAAAAAGAAAAGAGTCAACTATGAGAGCACTCAAAAATGAATAAATGCCTTAAAACCATAGAGCTTATACTTTATTTTTTCATATTTAAGTAGTTGTACAAAACAGTATGATTATCACGCATCTTGATCGATATCCTTTCTTATCAAGGACTGATTCTTTTTTAAGAGAAATTTTCTTAGGTGACAATAATCAATTTACTGAAAGGAAAATGTTTTGTAAGTTGTTAAAACAGGCACACTGGCTGGGCTATGTAACTGAGCAATGTTTTATAATTCAATTCAATTTCCAGTCACTTCAAAACATTGGAGGGTGAACTTCCAGAATTAAATACTCTCATGCATATAAAATATTGCTGCATGGTTTAGGTTTATAGCAATTTTAATGGTGTTTATCAATTTTATACTCTTGTATACACAAAGTTATGACAAGCATAAGCTGAGAAAGGAATATCTCTCAAGCATTCATCCTTCGTTATTTCTGTGTTTATAGAATACTTTTCTTCCAAGAGTATTAGACAAGCAGCTGGATAATGTGGCAAGATCTATCCTTCTCAGTCACTCTTCCTGGAATTAAAGAAAATACTGTCTGGACATTTTTGTGATAATATCACAAGACGAGGCTCATAAGCATTGAACTATTATTCTGAAATCCAACATAAGGCCTTTGCACTGAGGTCATCTGAGAAGCCCACAGCTCTACTGACAGAAGATTCCAGGCTTTCTTGTAACTTCAGTTACTAGTTTTTTTTGTTTTTTGTTTTGTTTTGTTTTTGGGTCCGGTCGTGGGGCCTGAACTCTGGGTCTGGGCGCTGTCCCTCAGCTGTTCAGCTCAAGGCTAGCGCTCTACCACTGAGCCACCTTCCCAGCCCCAGTTACTAGTTTTGAACTTGGCCATCATTGACATCATTCCAGTTTAAATTTGCCTTGCCAACAGAGTTATTTTTCCAATAAAGACTGCCATTTAGCTGAACAAGAGAAATGAATGAGAGACTGCCTGTCCTCTTCACACAGAGGAATGATGATTTGAGAAAGTACTATAACTCACAGAAGCTTGACAGCTAGAAACAAATCCTGAGATTATCTACACTGACCTCATTTTATAGATGGAAAACTGAAGGCAAGGAGTAATGAAGAAACAGGAGTCACCTCAGGAGCTCTCTCCAATAGCTATTGCACTTCCAGGAAACCAACTCCCACTCTTTTGTTTGCTCATTTTTGTGCTGGTACTGGGGAGGGTTGAATTCAGGGCCTTCTAGTCTTTTTTAGCCAAGACTGGTATTCTACCAGTTAAGCCACATATCCACTTCCAGGGTTTTGATGGCTAATGGACATTAATCTCACACTGTTTCACCTGGGCCAGCTTCAAATTGTGATCCTCAGATCTCAGCCCTTAGAGTAGCTAGGATTATAAACAGGAGCCATCAGCTGGGCGCCAGTGGTTCATGCCTGTAATCCTAGTTACTCAGGAGGCTGAGACCTGAGGATCGCGGTTCAAAGCCAGCCCGGGTAGGAAAGTTCATGAGACTCTTATCTCCAATAAACCTGCTAGAAAACCAAAAGTGGTGCTGTGGCTCAAACGGTAGAGGGCTCGCCTTGAGCTGAAGAGCACAGGGACAGTGCCCAGGCCCAGAGTTCAAGCCCCACGACCGACAAAAAAATAAAAAATAAATAAACATGAGCTATCAGCACCTAGCAGAACACGTAGTCATAATCAGGAGTGGTTCCTTGTGAAGTTGGACAAGTACCAGCCCTGTGGCTGAAAGGAGACCAGTTGCAGACTGTACAAGAGCAACACAACCATGTCTGTAGCCTGTGAGAGGCACAATTTCCTCCAGAGGAGCCCATAGACAGTGTATGCCTTTCCACCTTCTCTAATGTTGTGTGTCTGGTATAGAAAAATAAGCCAAGGGTGAAACTCAAGCATAAGCAGGTCTCATAGTACGGCTCAGACAACCGTGTGCTACATTCTTCATTGCCAGCCCTAGGTACAGCAGTTCCAACCTGCTGGGGGGGCGGGGATGGGTCCAATCTGGTTCTATACAATCATTTCTGATTGTCATGTTCCTCATCTCTACTAAGAGATTACAATGTTTTCTGCATCATCCAACCAGCCACTGAATAGAAATGAAGCACCACCAAAAAATGGGAGCACAGCAAAGGCATTTTATCTAATAAGGCCATCCTAAAGATTTGCAAAGAAACACAAGCCCTGACAATCACAAGAAATAGTCCCTCAACTAATGAGAAAGCTGCAAGCTTCCCTCAGTCACAGGATGCAAGCCCATCCCTCTTACCAAACAGAAAATTCTTTTTTTTTTTCTTCAGGGAGACGATGGAGTTTGAACTCCAGAATCTCCCACATGCTAAGCAGTGTCCCACTACTGAGTTCTATTTCTAGCCCCAGAATATTTCTTTTTGGAAATCGTAAGCCTTCTTTATTGGGAATATATGCATATACATATACATATGCATTTATATATAGTCTTAGAGAAAGCACTACATATAATTTATTTTTAATGGTACTGGGGCTTGAACTGAGGGTTTGAGTTCTATTCCTTAGCTTTTTCACTCAAGGCTGGATCTCTAACATGTGAGCTACATCTCTGCTTCTGGCTTTTTGCTGGTTATTTGGAAATATGAGTCTCATGGTCTTTCTAGCCTAGTCTAACCTCGAACCATGGTCCTCATATCTCAGTCTCCAGAGTAGCAAGGATTATAGACATGAGCCATTCTAGTGCATCCTAAACAATACCTGTTTGTTCAAGCAACATTGGTTGGTTAAGCTGGAATCACACCCTCCATGTCAAGCAAAGCGCTGGAGATAATGAAGGTGAGAGAGATTATGGGCTTTCTACTCAGGGGCAGGCAGTCTAAGGGAGGGCAAACACCTTATGCCAGGCTGCAAACCTCCAAGCCAAGAGCTCAAGGGAGACTCGGCTTCTAGGGAATTAAGAAGGGAGGGGCAGGCTGGGAGGGGCAGACTGACTTCAGGGAAGGAAAGCACCTTGCTAGAAAGGGAAAACCAAGCGATGCTGGAGATCAGGGACAAGCAAGCAAAGCCACGGAAAGGAAAAACAGGTTAGAGGTAGGACAAGCACGTACCAAAAAGCTGGAAGAGCTGCTGGCAGGGAAAGGGAGAAATTAGACCAAGAAAGGTAAGAAAGGGGCAAGACAAGAGTCTGAGTGCTTTGTTCATGGGCTTGGGTGTTCCCTATAGGTAATAGGATTCTGCCTTCCTCCTCCTCCTGTAACCTCCAACAGTGTAGAGCTGAGGGGTGAAGGAAGGCTCCAATAATGTTAACTGTATGGAAGCCACTGTGCTATGTAAGACAGGGATAGGGGAGTGGGGACCAAATTGAAGGTCAGTGACTCCTAAAAATGATGTCACGCTGTCGGAATCCAGATCTGAATGTTTTCTTTAAATAAAAGTAGGAGTAATGTAGAGTTCCTCCCCTCCCACCACCCACCAATGGGATACAACCTATTTACCCTCTCTGAACTCTACACCCTGCCTTACGGTTATATCAGTCTTCCCCATTACCTGGCGCTCAGGAATGTTGTAAGGATTGAGTAAGGGCATGCAGGGAGACAAATGAACCCTAGGTGTG